CATCCTATCTTCCTCGCCCGGCCGGGCACACCTCAATGCGAGGGCTTCCCCGGTTGAGCGGGCTTCCGGGCATCATGGATACTTCGATTGGGCTGTTTTCTTGGCCCAATCTAGATTTCCTCTTTGGGTCCTTAACACTCGGTCCATTGCCTCGGTCTCTTCTCAACTTTCGAGCCCTTAATCACCGGTTTGATTGCTCCAACGCGGTCTTGGGCTATGGAATGTGGTTATATGAACACGATCCTACTCCAATGCTCGTAGTGGCTCAAATAAGTCCGGGAAAAAAGCTCCAAACTGCAATTTCCTATAAAACAATACCAAAGCTACAAAAACACTAGAAAGCGCATATTAGTAATAAAAATAGCTCCGTAGAGCCAAAAATACTCCTAAATATGACCAAGGATGGGGGTAAAACACTATATAAAATAGACATATAACCTAACCCACAATTAGTTGCATGGGAGGCTCCTCCTTTCAACTCTTTCAAACTTAACTTTGACGGTTCAGTAAAAAACAATTCAGCAGCAATAGGAGTCATCATCGGAGATACCGACGGTACACCCATTACAGCCAAGCTTTCAACCTTGGCACCACCAACATATTCACAATAGAAGCTTCAGGTCTTCAACAACGAATACAAAATTTTCAAATTGAAGGAGACGACTAAGGGTGTCCATTCGGTTTTTGGTTTGGATTTAGGCTAAATCCCTAAATCCAAACCGATCCGAAATAAAATTCAATTATCAATTTTCAAGTCAAATCCGATCTGAATTATTCACCAAATTCAATCCGTTAAATTCGGTTATTTGGATCCAATTCGAAAATCAGAATTAAAATACATTGCAAATTTTTTAGGCTTAGTGCGATTAAAAAAGTAAAAATACAATTATAAAAATTCAATTCTTGAAAGCATAGTTGTACATGATTAATACAAGCATTGAAAACATAGTTTTACATGATTAATTTAAATGTAATTATAAACATAGTTTAACATGATTAATACTAACATTTCTTGTTTGTAAAAGTATGGTTTTATATTTCGGTTATTTGGGTTATTTTGATCCAAAAAAGTTTTATCCAATCCGATCCGAAAATCTGAATTATAAAAAAAATTTGATCCGATCTGATTCGATTTAAAGTTCTGATCTGATCCGAATTAATAATTCGGTTTGGATTGGATTAAATTTCGATTTTAATCCGAATAGTGGACACCCCTAGAGATGACCTCCTAGTTATCAACGCATTAAATGGTATTTGGTCAACCCCGTGGCAGAAGAATCACATTATATAACAGATATTAAGATCCTACTTCGTAGATTGGGAAATTCATTATGTCTACATAGAAGCAAACAGAGCAACATATTGAATTACAAATGTTGGACCTCTTGTCATTGGCAAATTGGATATTTTTTTTAGTTCCTCTTCAGCTTTGTACCCCATTCTCTCCTCATATGCTTCAGGATCGCCTCTCGATCAAGAGGAAGGGGGGTCCTAATCCTTTCCTTTTTTCTTACCCTTAAAAAAGTTTGACCCATTCAATAAATGTACGTGTTATGTTGACCTATTTAATTAAACGGGTTGGAAACCCTTAACGCTAACCCACCTTCTCCTTGTCTGGCTCATGTCGTGTTACTAAATTTATGTTATGCTTGTTTAAAATAATTATCATCAATAATTACATAAATCATTGATTTTTTTTTTTTCCAGACGGATTAAGCCACGTTAATTTCATGTTGAGAATCTCAACACTAACCAACTTGTTTAATTAAATGTGTCATGTCGTGTCAATTTGTCTAATTATGCGTGTTGTAAACCCTTGACACTAAGCCGAATTATCGTGTCTGGTCCTTATAGCGTTGTCACTTCAACTTTTGCTAGCTCTAAGGGAAATTAATTAGAGTACATGGGAATAAGTGGACATAAGGATTGTGCATGGATGAGATGCAAGAGAGAGATATCCCTACCTCCCTATACCTTATAAAAAGTATAAGAAAGCTCTTATGAATAGTGCATGGACATTTATATCCCTGAAAAATGATTTTTTTTACGTATTTGCCCCCATTGAATTCAAAAGTCTTAAAATTGTCTTTGTAATCACCAAAGATGATTAATTATTTGTGTTTATTTCAATGTTTAAAGCATCTTTTAGTCTCTTCATTTTTTATCTATTTGGAATATAAGCACAAATTAATACAAGTATTGCAAATTAATTTTAATATATATGGAGTACAAAAATTACGAAATATACAATTGTATGATGACTTATTTAATTTATTCAATTTGTCTCAATAAGTACTTAAAAATTACCAGACAAATAGATAAAATAAAATACCATGCAGATATGCATAAGGCATAAAGGCCACCAATAATAATTCTCCTTAAAGGGCTAGCCAGTTCGCGGATCACGAGTGTAAGAATCCGTAGTTAAATAAAAATTTGGGGTTTACGTCTTTCTTTTGTGTGTGTGTGTGTGTGTGTGTAAATGAGCCATAAGGGCGTTACGGCGTACAAATGGGGAAGGAGGATTAGGACGTTTTCCCAAACTAAGCCCTATTTGCAAAGTATTTTGCAAAATGGATGCGTGGCAAAAGTATTTACCAAACTAAGTTTCAGGAATAAAACGCTGTCTCGGATAACGTTTTATAACCTGGATTTTTTTTAAAAAAAATTCAAATTGTAAAACGCTGTCTGAGACAGCGTTTTACATGTTGACTTTTTTTTTTAAAAAAAATCGTAATTTTTAATTTTTTTTAAAAAAAAATCAAAAATTGATAATTAAAAAAAAAAATTATCCTAAAAACGCTGACTCATAAGTTTTTTTTCTTTAAAATCAGAAATTAATATTTAAATTATTAATTTTTCCCCAAGCAAAGAATCCAAAGAACTAAACCTCTGAATGTGATTCCAGTAAAACAACATCAGACAATTTCTAAATAGACAATAAGCTGAATTCCCACGAACAGGATCATCCAAATATTTTCCATAGACTTGTTTGAATGATGAATTAGATTAATAAATTAATATATCAGCTCTATGGGGTGAAACCTGCAAATTCAGCTTCTGGGTTTTTATTGGAGAATCAAGAACACCTGAAAACAACCAATAAAATAAATAAAAAGAAGAAAATCCCACTTCTTTAATTGAGATTAAATTGTTAAAAATTAAGGAAAACGGAACTTAAATATCTGAAATTGACTTGTCTTTTTAAGTTTGGGTTTAGAAGAAGAAGAAAAAGGAGGAGTATTCTGATTAGGGCTGGCAAATGGATCAGGTCGGGTCGGGTTCGTGTTCGGGTCAGCTGATTTCGGGTCAGCTACCCCCAACCCGAACCTGATCCATTTAAGTTTTCGGGTTGAAAAGTTCAACCTGAACCTGAAATATTCGGGTTTGGGTTAACCCGAATTTGACCTTATTAAACCCGAATTTTTTTTTCCAGTGCTTCAATTGAAACCAAAATAAACAACATAGTCGAACAAAGTAACAAACTAACAATTATAATTAACAATTACAAACCAAATGAATGTGTGCTTAGCGAATAATTATAAAGGGTCATTATATTGTTAATTACGGAGAGTACATTACAGGATGTATAACAAAAACATGAAAATAACATACATCATCTGATTCGTCAGATACTTAACATTAATTATAATGGGTTCTTGTAAAGAACAAGGCTAGTGCCATAGAAATTGTTGCTGGGTAAACAACCAGCCCTTGCTATCATCAGTAGTGTCCGTATCATTCTTCCATAATTAAAATGCCCCTTGGTTGATTGATGAAGGTTGAACTCTTGAACCGTTATGTTTGTGAAAGAGAGGAAGGCGTGCAAAGGGAAAGGATCTTAAGTTTTTAGGTTTGAATTCTTGAGTTGAAGAGAGAGAAAAGATGAGGGGGAAAATGATATATTAGGGAGAAAGATAGCTCTTGCGGCTGAAAGAAGTGAGTAGGAGCATATGAGAAGATTTTAGGGTTTTAGCTTTTATTAGGACTTATATGTGGGCTTGGGCTGGCTTCAATAGTTACCTTTGTTTTTATTTTACTTTATTTTATTTTGTTTTATTTTTTCGGGTTAGGTGGATCATTTTCAGGTTGGAATATGCAACCTTAACCTGACCCATTTAAATTTCGTGTCGGGTTCGTGTCGACCCATTTAAGTTTTCGGGTCAAAAACTTCAACCCTAACCCGCAATTTTCAGGTCGGGTTCGGGTAGGGTTTTTGGGTTGGGTCAACTTTTGCCAGCCCTAATTCTGATGGTGAGCATGGCTGATAATTGCTGGAAATGAATGTGGGGAAGTATGAATGAGCTTCTTGTGAAATTGGGTTTAGTGGGATTGAAACAAAGATCAGTTTCAGAGAAGAGAGACAAGGGATGAAAGTTGGTGATGGTTGCCGCCATTGTTGGCTGTTAATTAAAGCTTTTTTTTTTACAATTAACAATTTATAAAAAAAAATTATCCGTCAGCGTTTTTAGGTTTAGATTTTTTTTATTTAAAAAAAAAAATCTGAAATTAATATTTTTTTTATTCTAAAAACGCTGACTGAGTCAACGTTTTTGGTGTAATTTTTTTTTGTTATAAAAAATTAAAATTACGAATTTTTTTTTTATTAAAAAAAGTCAACATAGATAGCGTTTTATACTTTGATTTTTTTTTTTAAATCCAGGGTATAAAACGCTGTTCGAGACAGCGTTTTACCCTAGAAGCTTAGTTTGGTAAATAGTTTTGCCACGCATCTATTTTGCAAAATACTTTACAAATATGGCTTAGTTTGGGGAAACGTCCGGAGGATTATAACCTGAAATTTATCGTACACAGACCCTCGTTCTTAACAACTAGGTTAAGACCTCACCGATAGCATTACCTTGGACAATGGTTAACTTTGTTATCATAACATGAAAAATCTAATGAGGCAGGCAAAATTACAAATGTATTAGCTTGATCGTCACATATACTTTAAATCGCGTTTAACTTAATCGCCACATGTACTCTCCACCTATAATTTAAACGCGTTATCACCTCTACCATAACCTTAAAGATCATCATATGACAACGACATCGACAATGACGTTCGGAGCACAGTCCGCCGCATTAAGCTACCCTAATTAAAAACACGCATCATGATCACATGCAAAATTTGTATCTTAACTCAATTCTTCCATTATACCCCAAAATTACGTAATCATACACCAAACTTCCCACTTTTTCCCTTTCTTTTAATAGCCAAAATTAAAAATAAACTCAAACCCCCTAAATTATCAAATAAAATCCAATTAAATAAAATTAGATGCTTTTGATCATGACTTTGATAGTTAGTTACTCCAATCACATTTCTTAACTTCATCACTCCTTCACTCACACACTCACTCAAACTCACTCACGTTTTTCTTTTCTCTCTCACTCGTCGAGTGATGGGCCGCAACTCACTGAGTTCGGCAGAACTCGCTTCGGACGACAATGGCGATCTAGGGTTTCGTTCCAATCACGATCGATCTCTCTTCAAACGCGCTCATCCTCTTCCGCATAATTCCGACGCTTCTAAATCATCTGATCGTCAATTCTCAAGCGCCGGTCACCGGTTGCGTTCGCGTCGGAAATCGTTTCAATTGAAAGGAAATTCGTTGATTTATGGTGTGATTTTGCTTGCGGTGTTTGGATTTGCGTTCGCTTCAATGGTGTTGCAGAGCTTTATAACTTCTGTGTTTAGGCAAGGCGGTGATGGCGGTGATGCGTCGACGCACGGGTTGAGGCTTGGGACTGGTTTGAGGTTCGTCGCTTCGGCGAGGTTTCGAGACGAAGGTCGCCTTGATCTGCTTAGGAAGTTGCCTAGGAATGGCGTTAGACCTCCTAAGCTTGCTCTTGTAAGTTGTTCTTCTAATTTTGTATTATATTATTTTTAAGTTGTGTTAAAATAATATACTATTAAGAATTATAGAATAATGTTTCATGTTTTTTAAGAAATTGATTGATGTAGTAGTCCTAGCGAGCTAGTAAGCATTAACTAAACATTAATAATAATGATCTGATACTTGATTTTGTGATGAATTTGCAAGTTATTACTCCCTCCGTCTCTACGTCTCTAAATGTTGCATTCGCCATCGGAGCAACATTTAGAGACGGAGGGGTATTGTTTATGCATATGCTTTGGCTTTGTATTACAAACCCGTTAAGTTTAATTCGAAGTGACGTTTTTTTTTTTTTTTTAAAGGAGGTTTCTTGTTTGATGTTCATACTAATGAGGATGGCTATTTCCATTTTTATTTTGGAGTGCAAACTTCAATTTCATAGTCATGCATTGGCGTTGTCAGCTGATGTGTCCAATATTGTTTAAAAGTAATCAGAAGAAATGAAAGTAAAGAGATGAGACTCTTGTCAACAAAATTAATTTTTTGTACTGTCGATGTTCTTGGTGATTAATTGGGATTTGAGTATTTAGATTGTAATGTTAGATTGAAAGGGTAGGATAGTTTTTCTGATTTCAGGATGGAGTTTTATCGAGAATATGGGGTGATAAATTATGCAGTGTTGCAATCTTCTTAGGAAAATGAGAGAAGTTTGCGTGAGAGATTTGAATTGCTTGAATTGTGGATAAAGCATTACGATTTTGTGGAAATGCGAGAATCACAGCTCTATTTTGATTACAAATTGAATGTTTCAGAGGACAAACTTAAGCTCTTTACCTTTGAGTGTCTCAGTATCTGGAGTATCACAGATTCACAGTGCCTTCTAGAACTATGCTATATTGCTATGTCCACTTGTATGGGCTCCAATCACTGCATTTCACTTTCTTTTTTATTTCTGACTATAGTTGAAGGAGTAACTCGTAGTCGGTGTATTGATTTTCTAGCTTAAGGCCAGGCCATTGTATGGGCTCCAATCGCTGTAATTCACTTCCTTTCTCATTATGGTTCAAGATGTTTTCTTGAGCTAGTGCTTTTATAGGTGTAGCTCGCTTTGCATATTCTGGAGTGGTACATTGTTTATTTTACTTGGGTAAAAATCATTTTTGCCATCTTGTTAGCAAGGATTATGGAAACTTCAACTTTTTGAGGTTTTGAACTTTTATTTGTTTATGTTAAGAGGTAAAAAACGAGAATAGTACATCATATTGTTTTCCCAATCCAGGTTTTATGTAAAGTTGACTCAAAGTACCTCGTATAGTACCTTTTAATTCATTGTATTAGCCAGTAGTTTTCTATTGGTCGGCAAACCTTAATTAGTTTCATCAATGGCACATTTATGATGCTGCAATTTGAATCTTCCTATTTCTCCCAAGCTGTTCTTGATGTGTAGGCTATGTACTAGGACTCTTCATTTCATTTGAAGTATTTGTGTCAAACCTTAATACTCCGGCATGTGTATGGAAACTTGACACCTCATCAATAAAAAATATGGATCATTTTTAATAAAATAGTCGTGTCTAACACTTGGTCATGAGTATGAGAGTCCGAGTAACATATTGTGTAGGAGATATAGACAGTGGGAATGGTTGGACTTACATTGCTCAATTTGACTACAAACTCGATCCACTTTGTATGAAATTCTATTTATTGTTATGCTGAAATTTGTGTTTTATATCGAAAAAGAAAAGGGTTTAAAACCTCTATGGTCTAGGCAAACAGCTTTTTGTCTATTTTAGCTGGTATAGTGCTTATGTTGATATTTTATTTAAATAGCAAATGAATTCTATCACTAGTGTCTACTATTCTCTCCTTGTGAACGAGAAAACAATGTAAAGAGACATGTAAGCCAACTAAAGAAAGTAAAAGACGGGTTATTATAGCTCAATTTTGTGAGTTTCTGTAAAATTCTTCTAACCTGTAATAACCCTTCTGTCTGATGTGGTAAAAGTTTTATAAAAAGTATGACAACATATAGTACTCCCTTCTTTCTACTCCTCTTTTCCCTGAGATTATTTATGTATCTGTATGTATATTTCTGTTAAGTATTTTATATTGTGTCAGATTTTAGGTAACTTGAAGAAAAATTCTGAGTCATTAATGCTATTCACAGTGATGAAGAATTTACGACACATTGGCTACACGCTGAAGGTATGCTTTTGAATTATGTATCATTCTCTTTCCTTCTGTATCATGGGTGTTATTGCTTATTTCTAAAATAGTTCATTTGGTAATAATTAATTGAAAAACAAGTTTCAGTGTCTTGTCCTGCATTGAGTTCTGGTATTACGAAAATTAGCAATATGTTAGTTTCACTAAAATAAAACTTGTCTATGTAGTTTTTCCATCATTCCATTTAGTCAGTATTGAAGCCTGGGGAAAAAAATGAGAGCTGGGGAGGGAGGGGGAGGGGGAGTGTGGGGAATGCAGACTGAGAAGCTATTTTCATCATAAGAAAGCTATGGTGTCTCTTCTTCATATTCATCTTTTCAGGTTTTACTGCTCCTCTTAAATGAAATCTATTTGAACTCTGCATTACAGACCGTCTGTTTTCTTGTTAATAAATTTTAATCAATTTAGATTAGGACCCTCATGCGTAATTGTGTTGTTTGTTGGCAGTTATATGCTCTGAAGGATGGTGAAGCACGAACAATGTGGGAAGAAATAGGAGGTCAAATGACAATTTTAAATCTTGAAAGATATGACCATTTTGATTGGTCCCTGTATGTTTGCTCATTAATCTATTGCACTTTATTGGATGATTGTAGTAAGAGAAGTTTTTGCACTATTAATCACTTACATCAATCAGTTGGCTGACTGCAGTAGTTTATATGATATAATTTGTTCTTTTATTTATACAGTTTTGAAGGTGTCATTGCAGACTCTCTTGAGGCAAAAGAAATAATATCAAGGTACCTTCTACCTTTCTCTTGCTTGTTTTATATTGAAGATATGTATTTTTTTTCCTCTGCTTTTAGTTTTTCTTTAATTGAACTTGGTGCTACTGAGGTAAGGTATAATTTTTAAATTGCAAGGACCTCATAAATTTACCATTCTGTGATAGTGTAGATTAGTGTCTGTTGATTGTTCAACCTTTATATTTTTCCTTACATACAGATGTTCTGGTCAGTGAATTATATATTTGTGCAGCCTCATGCAGGAGCCATTCTGTTCTGTGCCACTTATATGGATTATTCAAGAGGATAAGCTTGCAAAGCGCCTTCTACATTATGACAAAATGGGTTGGGACCATCTTATTTCCCATTGGAGACAAGCACTTGGCAGAGCTGATGTTGTTGTCTTCCATGATTTTTTCTTACCGGTAATTTATTTGACTTATTGTCTAATATCAGACTCCTGATATTCTCTTGCTTTTTAATATTATTTATTTACAAAGTAGGTTTTTTTTTTTTGTTTTTTTTTTTGGGTGAGATTTTGCTTTGCTATCCTCAGTTTATATCATTGTTGTACAGTTGTTATATAGTGCCCTTGACTGTGGAAACTTCTTTGTGATTCCTGGATCACCAAAAGATGTGTGGGCTGCTGAAAGCTACCTTAAAACTCACTCCAGAAATGATTTGCGGAAGAAAAATAATTATGATATAGATGATGTGCTGGTTGTGGTTCTTGGAAGTTCCTTCTTCTACAATGAACTATCTTGGGATTATGCTGTTGCAATGCATACTATTGGACCCCTTCTTGCTAAGTATGCCAAAGGGAAGGATGCTGCTGGATCCTTTAAATTTATTTTTTTATGTGGAAACACTAGTAATGGATCTAATGATGCTTTAGAGGTAAATATTCATCACTACTGTATACTCTTATGTGCTATTGCTTTCTAAGCGTATGAGTTGGATTTTCTCACCAAGAGATGAGATTTGATTGTAATTTACAGTGTCAATACTAAAGTACCCCATTACAATTACTACTAATAGCCACTCAGTTATGAGGATAGATTGATGGTTGACTTGTGAAGACATGCAAGGAGTAATTAAACTCACTGAGTTTAATGGCGATTGATTTTTAGGAGAAAATCACATGAAGTTATTGTCCATAAAACTTATTGAATTGCTTGAATCTGAATTTATACTTATATTGCAGAAGTACTACAGACCTACAGTACCATACTTATTAGAATTCATTTTTTAATTAATTTAAAATTGCCATTTTTAAGACTTTGTTTGACTGCAAATCAGTTGATACGGAAAGTAAAATATACCAAGACACTTGAATATAGCTTCATAAATGCCATTTCCCACAAGAATCCAAATTTAGTTAAAAGACTCCTTTAGGATAACTTCTGGCCTAGAAGAATTATTTGAAAAGATCATTTGCATTGAGTTATATAGCCTATTTCCTAGTCCATTGTCTTGAAGCCTTGAACATTAAGCATGCATTTTTGCTGGTTGTTTGTCTAGTATAGGGTTTCCTTTATCTATAATGTAGTATTATTATTGAAAGAATCAAAATATTAATCAAACTAATCCTTTTGTCAAGTTTATGTAATAAAGTAAGTAGTTATCTTATAATGTCAGTCATAAAAAGGGCACAGACTTGCTGCTCTCTGAACCTAATAATATGACTTTTTAGTACCAATCATCTTCTTTTGTCATCTAATGTATTCTTTCTAGTATTCTAATACTGCAACAATGTTTCTTTCATTCAATTTAGGGTGTTGCTGCTCACCTACGACTTAGTCCAGGTTCCATGAGGCACTATAGCCTGGACCATGATGTGAATGGAGCTTTATTGATGGCTGACATAGTTCTATACGGGTCATCACAAGAAGAAGAAGCCTTCCCATCGTTACTAATTAGATCAATGTCTTTTGGGATTCCTGTAGTTGTACCTGATCTTCCAGTCATAAGCAAATACGTGAGTTTTTTTTTTTTTTTTTAACTAATTAATTTTTTTTTTTTAATTTTTTTTTTTTATTTTTAAATCCAATTAAGTTTATCATGAAACTTGAGAAACTAATTTTCGAGTTTGTCATAAAATCATTTCGGAAAATGCAGGTTGTTGATGGTGTCCATGGAATGATTTTCTCTAAACATAATCCAGATGATTTGCTGAGAATCTTCTCGCATTTAATATCAAATGAAGGGAAACTCTCTGAATTTGCTGGTGCAGTTGGCTCTTCCGGGAAGCTTCTTGCCAGGAATTTACTAGCTTTTGAATCCATAACCGGCCATGCAAAGCTTATGGAAGGTGTGCTTCATTTTCCTTCAGATTCATTGCTTCCTTCTCCGATATCTCAGATTCGACAGGATTCATGGGAATGGAATTCCTTTAATGAAGTGATGGAACAGACAGCTGCCGACATGATAAGTAAAGATGAAGAAGGCATTATAGTAGAAGGGTCTAGCATTGTTCAAAAGCTTGAGGAAGATTTTAATAGTTTAGTGAACTTGAAAAATATATCTGTGGAGAACAGTGATGTCATAGAAAGGGATCTTGTGAGCAATGAAGATTTGGATGATGTTGAACAAATTGCAAGCTTTGAAGAGTATGAGAGGCGAGAAATGGATCAGGCATTACTTTAATTTTTTTGTTTACTCTATTTCTTCTTCACTTTGTCTTGTGGACTTGCCACAGGAACTTATGGGTGTCATGATTTTCTGGTGCGCAGATTGACGAAAGAATGGAGAAGGACCCTGGTATTTGGGATGAGATATACCGAAATGCTCGTAAATCTGAGAAACTCAGGTTTGAAGCAAATGAAAGGGATGATGGAGAGCTACAAAGAACAGGTCGTCTAATGTGCATTTATGAAGTTTATAATGGTGCTGGGGCTTGGCCACTTTTGCATCATGGTTCCCTGTATCGTGGTTTAAGTCTTGTAAGTTATATTATCACCATTTACTGTGAAGTTCATTTGAATTTATTTATTTATTTTTTTTTTGAAAATTTTACATGTTGATTTAGGCAACTGATGAATCCTAGCTTTAATTTGTAGTATTGTGTGTTCAATGAAACTGTAAAGCCCAACTGTTAGCCATGCTAGTTATGAAATTTAAGATGTGGGTTTGCACGTTGTTATGCATTAAAATTTTCTAATTGTGTGATATTTATTATTTGGAATTACCTTTGTTCAGTGCAGAACTTATTGATTAATCTGTTGTACTCATCTTTTTCTGTTTTCCAAATTGCAGTCTAGAAGAACACGGAGGTTAAGCTCAGATGATGTGGATGCAGCTTATAGGCTTCCAATCTTAAACGATCCCCACTACCGGGATCTTCTCTGTGAAATGGGGGGCATGTTTTCTATTGCACAAAAGGTGGATGATATTCACAAGAGGCCATGGGTTGGGTTTCAGTCATGGAAAGCTTCGGGTAGAGAGGTAAACTTTGCTGCGATTTTTTTTTTTTTTTTTTTTTTTTTTTCTTGGGTCTTAATCTTGCAACTTCGGTTAGATTTTTACAAGAATACACGCCTTAATAAATCCATATGAAATTGGCTGTAACACTGGTATGCTAGGCTGTGCTGCTCATTTATATATTCCTATTTGAGATCAGACTGTAGGTTTGATCTTGTGGTGGCAAAACAGGTTTCACTGTCATTAAAAGCAGAAAGGATTCTTGAAGATACAATACAGCATCAAACCAAAGGAGAAGCTATATACTTCTGGACAAGATTGGACATGGATCTAGGTCTTTCAGAAAGCAATAGCTTGACTTCCTTTTGGTCAGTATGTGATGTCTTAAATGGAGGATACTGCAGGTAATGGATCTCTATCTCTCTCTCTCTCTCTCTCACACACACACACACACACACACATATATATATATATATATATATATATATATATATATATATATATATATATATATATATATATATATATATGGGTTGTCTTGTAATACTCCATATATTTCACAATATTCTTAAAGGCTGATGTTTGAATGTTATATCTTCTGCTTTCTTATCCTGCTTAATTTAAGTCTTCAACGCTCAATTTATAATTGATGTTTCGACTTAAGGTAGGAAGGGCAACGTCTTGTTGTTGTAGCAATTTTATGTAAGCAATATTTTCCTGAACTTTAATTTTTCCTTGGCAATTTCTTCTAGAGGATATTAAATTGTCAGACAGTGTATTTCCTATCTTTTGAGCTTCTGGATTGATCATTTTCTCCGTTCTGTTTTTTGGAATTAGTCTGTACATGGAACACTGACAGTGAAGAGTTAAAGTGAAAGAAACATAGAGATAGCTTATACTCCCTCCGCTGCAACTTTTGCCATTTTTGTCCGGTCAGAGTTATGTGCAACTATCTGTTTTTTTTTTCCATTTTTAGTAAACAAAAACCCTTAAAATTACATATTTACCCTTACTTAAAAAAATTTAATGTTCTTAATTTTACCCTTATCTTATTTTAATCACTATAACCTTTTTTAATCTAATCTAAAATCATGAACCTAATTCTACCCACCCATCTATTCATCTCCTAGTTTACCCACCACCCATTCATCTCTTTCTTCAACCTTCACCCTCTTCATCTCTTTCATCTCTTTCACCTTCACCCTCTTCATCTCTTCCCACCACCATTCTCTCTCCTCCTTCACGACCACCGCCCCTCCCACCACCATTCTCTCTCCTCCTTCATGACCACCGCCCCTCCCACCACCATTCTCTCTCCTCCTTCACGACCACCGCCCCTCCCATCACCAATCCCTCTCCTCCTTCACGACCACCGCCCTTCCCACACCATTCTCTCTTATCCTTCACGAGTCACGATCACCGCCCCTCCCACCACCATTCTCTCTCCTCCTCCTCGAATTTCAGCCGGATCTGCTTTGGGGTTTGATTTTGTACGTTTGTCGTTTATTTTTTGGGTGATTTACGTTCGAATTTTCTAGGTTTTTTTCGATTTTATGGGTTTCGATTTTATGGGTATTGATTTTCTGGGTTTCTACGGTGGTGGGTGGGTATAGGGGGTGGGTGGGTCTAGGTACATGGGTGGTGGGGTGGTCTGGGGTTGGAGGTGGTTAGGGTTGGTGGTGGAGGGGAAGGTTAGATTTCTGGGTTTTCGTGAGGGTGGTGGTGGTGGTTTCGTGGGGTTGGTAGTGGTGGTGGTTTCGTGGGGGTGGTAGTGGTGGTGGTGAAGGCGGCGGTGTGGGTGCCTGGGTGGTGTTGCCTGGTCTTGGTGGTGGCAGTGGATTTTGATTAATTAATCTCTCTCCACCTTAATTACATATCACAAGTGCATTAACTTTCTCTAATCTTTGCCCTTTAAAAATTGCATTGACAACCGTGAATTGTTTTGCAGTTGCAGATAATATTTAACCGAGGGAGTACTTTGAAGCATAATTAAGTTAAATAATTTGATTATGACTGAAAGGGACCCTACTTGACCCCTTCCTATGAGGCTTTGATGCACATGAAGCTGTCATTATTGATATACCCATTCTGAAATGCTTCAGAAATATGGGACACATAGGTTGACATGTGCTCTAAAATTTTAGAGATTAGCAAAATATTTGCTTGAAATAAAGTCTACTACATAATACTACCTTTAGTTGATGCTTATTCCTTTTTAGGAAGGTTTTTTTAGTTGATGTGTATTCCTTATTGGGAAGGATTTTTTTAGTTGACGCCTATTCCTTTTTGGGAAGTTTATTTTTAGTTGACCCTACTACAAACTTGATAAATTAAGCAACACATGGTCTATCCACTTGCTTTAACATCCTTTCTCCTCTCCTTAAAGTACGTGCCTAAATTGAACGTGTCATCTAAAAAGAAATGGAGGAAGTATGGAGTATATGAAAATGAAAATGCAAAAAAGAGTAAGATTACTTCTTCTCTTCTTTAATTAATAGAACTTATTGAAACTTATATGAAATTATTCGAACTCACGCTAATGCAGAAAGTAGTACGACTTATTAGACCAAATTTTTTTTTTAAGGTGAATAGAACACACCTTTACTTATCTAGTCATCCAGGCATCCAGCCAGCATATCGTACATATGGACTTACTGATCTATAATTTCCATATCCATTGATAAAAGGTGATTTAATGGGGCTTATAGTTGTGATTTGTGAAATTTAGAGTTTATGGTCTTGTCTGCAACGACACTATTTGAGGTGTGTATCATTTCAGATAACTCTCTCTGTCTCTTCAAGAAATTCTGTGAGAAACACTTCAGACCTTATTTATCTCTATACACAAACTTTCCACACTTCTAGTTCTAGATTCTTTTTTTTTCCTTTTCATCTATTTCTGGTTTTTTCATTTCGTATGACATTGATTACATTAAGTACCTGGTGAATAGACATTTCTGCTGATATGTGCGGATGAAAACACGCTACTTGATTTCTTTCATTTTAACTATTGCTTCAACAACAGAGATGAAAGCTTCTGCTGAATACCTCTTCAGAACCAAATTTTCTTGAATTTGTATGTACCTCAAACATCCAATCTTGGAGAAAATCATCAACATTGTCATTGCAGACTAATTTAAAAGGGAGAGAGGGGTGTACAATACTTGTCTTATCTGTTATTTGACTTGGATTCAAGGGATTTTCTATTTTGTTCATAAGTAGGCAGTAGGCTTCTATGAAATGAATACGTTTCAAGTGATTTGTCTTTAAATTTAAATGGACTCTAGTCCTTTTTGGTGTGCAGTATATTAATTATCTTCATACAACTTTACACCTATTTACTGTTTGAATAAATAAATAAGAACCTTTACCCCAACAGTATAAATTTAGATACATAGGGTAAAGAAGTTGGTGCCAAATAAGGACCCTGTTTTTTCATGGGACAATGCTTGAAATTTCGTTAGAGAACATCAAATTAGGTTACTTGTTGCCAACACCACTACCAACCTCTCCTTTTTCAACGGAAGTTTGGCTTGTTCTTCCCTGCTTGCACTCCAATTTCCTGCTATATGTGGTGCAGAGTGATCAATATTCATTGTTTCTTAGCACATGTAAAAAAAAAAAAAAAAAAAATGTATTTGGTTCGAAGTTGTCATCTGCTAATATACACTCCCTGTCCCCAAATAAAATTCCCATTTGCCTTTTGCACGTGTTTTTTAAAAAGGTGAAAAAATCTAAGAAAGTGGGGTTTGGATGATTAAAGGTGAATATAAAATACAAGATAGTGGGGTTTGATTGATTAAAAGTGATTTAGCTAATATATTAAGGTGAAATGGGATTTCTTTTTAGTGATAAGATTTTTTGGTGAATTGTGACTATTAATTGGGACGAAGGGAGTAAATCATTCTAATGCATCAAATATTAAAAGTCAAGAACTTATGGTGAGGCATATGATATATAAGTAATTGTCTTTCTTAAGTTGCAGGGAACTTTCCTTCCTAAATTACCACTTTATTGCTAGTTGATAATGTTAATCCTTTGTACTATATGTTACCAATATTGTTTTCTTGAACATTTTTTCTTCCAAGTGAAATACTCTATTATATTGTGTGTTGTGTTCTCCTTTTGCCTTTTAGGGGCTTCTCATCTCCACACTTATAATAGTGCCTATGCTAAATTGATAGTCGTTTGATTATGTTAATAGAGCCACACACTGAATGAGTATGATAATACAATTTGCTATTTCCAAATCCTTCATGGCTTCATATAGTTTAAAACTTTAAATATATCCAACATAAGCTTCTTGTTTATAACTTTGACAATTTTTTGCTAAACGTAAATACTTCTTCATTCTCTCAGAACAGCATTTGAAGATGCTTTCAGGCGTATGTATGGCTTGCCTTCAAATGTTGATGCCCTTCCCCCAATGCCTGAGGACTCTGACCACTGGTCTGCCTTGCACAGCTGGGTCATGCCAACTCCGTCGTTTCTAGAATTTATGATGTTTACCAGGTAATTGTAAAGAACGGTCTCACTTTTTCCGTTTGCTCTTGATTGATGTTCCAAATTTTACTTTGAAGATGTCACCCTTGATATAGAAATATGACAATGTGTTGTTACAAATTGCAACCTTCTCACAGGATGTTTGTTGATTCTCTTGATGCCATACATTATGACAGTAGTATAATAACTCCATGTCCACTGGGAGTTTCGGAAGTTGAGGTAATTTTTTTTTTTTTTGTTGCTAAACTGATGCGTCTATCCCTATGAGGCTATGACCTATGTATAACTGAAAAGATAGCTTTTTTTTAAAAGAAAAAAATTGCCTATTTTTTCCTGCAGAAAAAGCACTGTTGCTGCCGGGTTTTGGAGCTTCTAGTCAATGTCTGGGCTTATCATAGTGCACGGAAGATGGTATATGTCGATCCACGTACAGGTCTGCTTGAAGAGCAGCACCCAGTAGACCAACGGAAGGGATTTATGTGGGTTAAATACTTCAACTTTACACTCTTGAAAATCATGGACGAAGACCTTGCAGAAGCTGCAGATGATGGTGACCTGCAACGTGAAGCCTGGTTGTGGCCACTGACAGGGGAGGTGCACTGGCAAGGTATATATGAAAGAGAAAGGGAGCAAAGATACAGGATAAAAATGGATAAGAAACGGAAAATTAAGGAGAAACTTTTTGAGAGGATGAAGTATGGATATAGACAGAAATCTCTTGGAGGATGAGAAATCTCTAGTGCTCAACCAAAATTTGTTATTGGAAGGCACAGATTTCCCCCAAAATACCTGACCTTTTTTACTTAGTTGGGAATTGGATAAAGCCAACCTACGCCAGCGACATTCTTTGCTAACCACCTTAACAGATCACTCATTACTGTGCATATATATATATTCATTTATTGGGGGTGAAATACCTACGAAGTATGGAGTGGAACAGATGACTCGTCGTCAGGAGCTTCTTGATACAGATTACTGAATTTCAAATAGCGGCAGATGCATGATGATTAGGTTGAGAGAAGCAATGTCATTTGTTAATTATTTTTGCTTACTAATTGGTGCTGAATGAACATGTATAGTCTACTGCAATTGTATATTTGACAGTGGCATGAGGTGCAAATTTTGTTCCGATTTGTTGCTTTATCTCTCCAAATATAGCACTATAGCCATTTGATTCAATACATTTTAGCTCCAAACACTCATACAGAATTATAAATCACAAGCCATTAAGGCATCAATGTAAAATCATCTTTTACAAGTTCACCATCCATAGCCTAATGTAGTTCCTTAATACACACCCAAGTGGTCGGTTTTGGTCATCAAAATTTCAAATCTAGAACTTTCATGCATTGATAATCAAAGTCGATCAACAATTTTAGGGGGTGCTTTGTTCGTTAAATTGGAATGGATTGGTTTGGAGTCTCACTTACTAAAGGATTATGGATTCTAAAACTCATACTAGTCCGAAGTTTTTGGGTTTTATTGTTTTGAATGGATTATATAGGTATGGGGTAGAGTTAAAAACTTAGAATCCCTTATACACTTGGGTATGAGATTTTGTAATTAAAAGCTACAAAGAAAAAAAAAAAAGTATTCTAAATTATTCCATTTCCTTCCAAATGATGAACCAAATGATCCCTTAGAAAGTAAAAGCATTTTGAGTCAAGTGAAATCTTTATATTTAGGTGTCGTTTGGTTGTCATGGGAAGTTAATTCTCATAGGAAATACTATTTTATTGGAAATAAATTACCTTGTCAATTTCTTAGGAAATAAGCATTTGTGTTTGGTTAAGCATGGAAAATTGTAATTGACACAAAAATTTGCATTTACCAAGGGGGAAGTTGGTAAATGATTTCCTACACTTTGTAGGAATTTTCACTTCTTTGGAATTTCCAGTTCCCATGCTTTTGTTAACCAAACACAAAAGCATTTTGCAACTTTTTAGGAAATTGAAATTCCAAGGAAAGTATGATGCAACCAAACAACACCTTAGAGAAACATGGAACTAGGAAAGTTATGCCAATTAATCACCTTGAAATGTTTATCACCTGGTAAATATGAAATCTCATGTAAAAATTGAAGAATATGTGTGTAATTTGCTATCTACTTGAGTTAACGTAATAGAACTTGAGTTAGATGGTATTACTCCCTTTGGATGGTTAAAACTTAAAATTAAACTAATGTTTGGATGCCTGCCTCTTGCCTATTGCTTCTTGTTTAAATCTATCCTCCATAACAGTGGCGGAGCTTCAGACCTTCCCCACAAAACCCCACCTCCAAAAAACCCAACAATTCCTATAATCCAAATTATAAAAATCCTTCAAAATCCATGAAATCTCAGGCTTAGTTTCTTCAACAACGTCCATTCATTTCTCCCCACAAAGCAGTTTAAAAATGGAAGAATTTCAACAGCTTTGCCGCCAGTTTCTAAGAAACCACTTTAAAAAACGGAGAAAATAAAGGGAATGGTTAACCCCAATAAGGTAGGGTGTTTGTCGTGGTAGGGAAATAAACCTTCTACCATGGAGCTCATCAATAGAGGATGATAAAGTTTCATCAATCGGAGTTGCTTCATGGGAGTAACAAACGAAGCTAACTGACCAAACTTAGGCAAGGTAAAAGATTAAACGGTTTTTTCACAGTATATCACTGAGTTATTTCAAAATTCACCATATACCACACAAAATTTTCTAATACACCAAATACCACTCACTTAATGTATATTAACACAATGCCTTTTTTGTTAACTGCCGTTTGGCGTAATTTACTAATTTCTCCATATACCATTATTTTATAACTTATTTCACTATATATCATTTTTTTAAAGTTATTTCACGACATACCCATAATTTTACAGCAGTAGGTTTTTTTTTTTAAAAAAAAAACTAGCCATTGAACAGTTATAACGACTAGTTTGTGTATATAAATGTAGTACTTGAGAGATTCACGTACTAAGCCACACTTCTAGAAGCATTTGCAAAGATGTCCACACACTCGAGATCATCATCGTCATCGTCATCTTTCGGTTCTTCGTATGTAAGGGTGCCAAACAAAGCTTGTTATTGTGGTAGGAAGTTTGCAATAAGAAGCTCCGATTCGGCAAAAAATCCGCAAAGGTTGTACAATAAGTGTGATGTATGTGAGACATTCAGATGGTGCAAGGGTAATGTGGAGAAAAATGTCCTGTCGGGTTATGAAAATCAAAGCAGGGGAGGGATAGATATGCATGGAAGTGAGTTTGTGTTGAAGCAAGAGTTGAAGGAGCTCAAGAGAAGAGTAGCAAAACAGTAAAAGATAGTAAATGCAACAATAAAAATAGGAGTAATTATGTTTATGGTTATTGTATTTGTAGCCTTGAAATGATTAATGTAAAAAAAATTTCACTGCTTAAATAAGTTTCACTTGAATTGCTAACTTTGTTTGTCAAAAAATTATGGCTACATGATTGTGCAATAGTTGTATTACATAGCTTGGAAATGTCATAAACATGTTTATGCCAAAATAACCAAGTACTTAACGTTTTGTTCAAACAAAACCTGATACATAACACTTAAGATTTAAAAGTTTTCACCTAAAAATTACACATCAAGCCTGGCAGCTTCAAGGATGCTGATTATCAGCCTTTCTCTTCTTCCCCCTTCCTTTGCCTTGCTGTGAAGTGGATGCTGCATTTTCTGCCTTTTTTGCTGCTGCCTTTCTTGCCTTACAGGTTAAGGCATTGTGTTCCACTTCTTTGCAAAGATTGCATTTGTTGTTCTTGTGCCTCTTTCCTTTCTTTGCTTCATGAGGGGCTCTTCTTCTCTGCTTAGCTGGTCTGCCTGCACTTCTTTTGCCAGTTGGTGGTGCAATTTCAGGCATATCAAGTGATGGCCAGTGAGTTGGATCAACCATGGGGTGGATGTGGTATGCATAAGTCAGTTTATATGCAGCCCCCTTGAAGTATGGTGAAACAAAATCCTCGGGTTCAAGTCTCTGGCTTTAAATGACCCTAAGACCATGCTTGCATGGTATCCCCGATCCTTGCCATTTCCTACACCCACAGGTGATATTCCCAAGTGTGACAAGGAACTTGACATGACCATCCCCGACTTCAAATTCTCCACCATTAGCTGCTGTCACATGACAGAACCTAGACTCATCACTCCTTGTCTCCAAAACCCCTTTAGCATAATCTGTCAGCTCATTAGATTCCATATCAATTGCTTTATCAAACCTGGAACCAATCCCTTTTAATGCAGTAATTCCTTACAGCTGATTTATTCCCAAAAAAAAAAAAAAAAAAAAAAAAAAAACCCAAGTACACGAACATATCACAATTAAAATCAGAACATTGTGCTAGAAAAATACCATTTTGCATGCATTGTATTCAAAAAATTAGGCACAACATTTTACCTTCCAGTAATGTCAGCACATGCATATCTCTATTGGACTTTGTAATTGCATTGAATGACTCAACAAAGTTTGTTGTGTTATGATCACAACAAATTGTTCTGTCAAACTTGTGCATACTCCATTGCTCTTCCACTTCTGTCAGATAATCAAATGTTGCTGCATCATACTCCTTAATCTTAGACATTGCTTTTCCATACACATATTCATTGTATGCATTTGCTGCAATCCAAAAGAGCTTATGAAACTCTGTCTCACACCATCCTAGAGTCTTGTAGTTTGAGTACAAATGCTGGCAGCATACTCTCCTAGTTGCTCTTGGGAACACCTCAAACAAAGCTGATTCAACACCTTCAAAAAACATGGCAAAGTTAGATAGTCGAGCTCCACATTACCAACACAAATTTAAGAGAAGGAGAAACTTACCCTCATCCTGTCACTCATAAAAGTCCAGTCATCCTTTTCAGATCCATATTGGGCACATAAGCACCTTAAGTTTCTGAAGAAATAAGTCCATGAATCTATGCTCTCTGTGTCAACAATACCATAGGCTAACACAAAAATCTTATTATTCCCATCAATTGAAACTGTAGTGAGCATAATCCCTTTGTAATAGCCACTTAGATGTGCACCATCTATTCCTATGATAGGTCTGCAACCACCCAAGAATCCTTTGACCCGAGCTGCAAAAGATATGAAACAAGCCTTGTATTTGGAACTCTAATCCCCATTATCAGTTCATATAACAAGAGAATATGACCCAGGATTTGTGGCCTTTATCATCTTGCATACTTTGGTAGGACTGCATAAGACTAAGCAAAACCACCATGTAATTGCTCCCTGCCTAAAGTCTTCACTTTGTATAACAACCTCAACTTGACATGGATCCTGTACCTTTCCATGCACACTCTTTGCAATGATTCAACTGGAATCTCTGGGTTTGCCTCCAAGTCTTGTAACAAATGTCTGCAAAGCCATGCTGAAGAGACCATAGGATTCTCTACCAGCCTCCCACAAGTTGCATGTTCTCCTTCTAGCTTTTTTATAGCCTAGCTGACATTATCTCTGAGAACTGCTGCATGAATCCTCCAATTGCAATCACTGATTAAACACTTTGCTGTATATCTTTTATTGTCAGCATAGTCAACTGAAACAGAGAACCCTTCTTATATGCAGTAATCTCTGAATACCTCAAGAAATTGTGTTTTGGATTCAAAAATCAACCATGGTTCAAGTTCAATGGACCCAAATGGTAAGTGAGACCATACTTTACCATTTATGTACATCTTGTCTAAAACATGGGACCCATCTGAGTAATCTTCAAAGGTCTTCTCAGGGATATTATCAGCTAGATCTTTTTCTCCCACAATGTAGTCATCCTCAATGTCCAAGTCCATATCCAAAGCATCCTCAACATCAGAAACTTCATAATCATCATCTTCACTATCATCAGAAGGCCAAGCATCAGACTCAACATCACTTTCCTTAACAGGCATAGGTTTTTTGCTCCTAGTCACTTTCCTCCTTACTCCTTTTTTTTCCCAACCACAACACCATACTTATTTGTTGTGCTTCTAGGCACCCTCCACTCTTTGGGTTTAATTCTAGGTTGTTCTTTAGTCTAGGTTGGTTGCCTTGGTGCTCTTGATGTTGGTTGTGGTGGTGGAGGTGGTGGAGGTGGTGTAGCCTGCCTGGCTTGGTGTGTTGGTGTTGGTGGTGGGGAAGGATGCTCTTGGGAAACATTTGGTGGTGGAGGTGTGGGCTGTCTTGGTTGAGTGGACTGTGTATGGGGGGTTTTTTTCTTCTTTGGAGTTGGTTTTTTTTTTTCTTGGAGTTCTCTTTGGTTGAGATGTTTCTGTTTGTGAGGTTTGAGGTTGAGAAGCCCCTGGAAATACCTCATCAACAGCTGGGGTAGCAAATACCCTAACATAGTCAATCCCATCATCATCTGCATCCACAACAGGGACCTCTACAGCCACAGTAAATGGCTGTTGGGCCCTAAGCTCCTCCTCAGCTTTTGCTTCCTCTGCTTTTCTCCTACTCTCTTCCTCCATTAACCTAATTTTTTCAGCACTGTTCTTCAAAGTTTTTGCCCAACTAGCTTCTGCAGACTGAAAGACAAGAGATGGTGTTTCTATCTCTTCTATGAACACTTCTATTTCACCATTCCCTTCATTCCACTCCCACATTTTAACATTGGCCCATCATCAACTAACTCTAACTTACGACCAGTTCTAGGTTTACTCACAAACATGGTGAAGTAGTTAGGAGGAAAACATTCTGCTTCACTGAATCCTCAAACATATACTCAAACAACTCCATCAAATTGGTCTTATTAGTGTCATCCATCCTCACATCAAAAGAACCACTTGGAGAACGAACTAACAGCCATAGTCCACTCATCCTAAGAATGAATGATAAACAACAACATTTAGCAACATCATATTGCATCACAATCCAAACAACAATTCGCATATAACACATCAAACTTTTTTTTTTGAAGGAATATAACACATCAAACTTTCATAAAATCTAAATTCGAATTTAATAGCATACCAACCAAACTGACATATATGATCATTGTCGACTAAACCCTAACCCTAACTTGTTTCGGGGTTTTCTGATGTCCTGCGGGAGAGTTACAATACCGAGACTGGAACCGGACGCCTGTACCTGCAAAACAACGGAGACTCCTGGTGGTGGGAGCTCCGCCTCCAACGGTCAAGTTAGTACTTGATTAAGGAGTAATTAATGCAGAAATTAAAGTGATTGGGTCTCTCTAGGTGAAAGTGTTTAATGTAGGTAATCTGCTTTGTTAGCGAGATCAGCCGGTTATTACTCTGTGTAATTAATGTGTTTTTTTCCGTAATCCCCCTTAATGAGGATTAAGGGAGGTATTTATAACCTTGGGAAACGTGCCCATCCTAGGTTTAGGTTAACCTAGGGCTGATTGGGCTTCCCTCGGAAGTTGGGCCTGGGTGGCCGGTTTCTCCATTAGGCATGGAGTATGCCACATGTCATGACATAATAGGTCCAAGGTGGACGAATAAGCGCGTGCCACGTGGCAAACCCTGACAGTTCCAACTGGGGGACACTTGGCAAGACCTGATTGGCCCACGTGGCGCATTCCGATTGGTGGGAGCAAAATCCCCTAATCATTTGCCCCTCACAGGTGGCACGTGACTGGTCACGTGTTACCTGTGACAGGTGTCGCACTGTAACAGGCGACGGCCTGCTACAGGTGTCAGTCGGCGAAAGGCCGAGAGATTTTCCCGCCCAAATTTTGAATTCTGAAAGTGACCCTTCGCCTTCTCACTTCGCCTATATAAGGGAGAGTTGTCTTGAGTCATTTTCACACTTGAGAACTTTGTGAGAGAACATTCGGACCCCTGAACTTGCTCTGACATTTTGGACCTTTTCTGCCTACCGCCTGTTCTGACAAGCCGACTGCACAAGATTTTCAGCACTTCATCAACCGTCACTCGTTCAGGTAACCTTCGGTTCTCTTACTCTTAATTTTCTTTTTATTTTTTGAAATGGCACCACGGAAGCACACGACACGACCTTGGTTAGTGATCAGCCGGTCACCGGGGACGGCTGAATCTAAGACTAGGAGTGCCGCCTGCCCTTTTCCGGACCCATCTTTGCCCTTTATACAAAGTCCGACTATATCTGTGTCTATGCAGAGCAGGATGGCCAGAACAAAAAAGATTGCTAGGATCTCAAATTCAGACGGCTCCTCCCACAGGGTGCCGATTAGTGAAACATCTGACCAGGCGCCAGATGTGGAAGTGAAACAAGGCGGCCTGAAAGCCGGCAATTCTGAGGGAGGAGTCATAGTGACCCCTTCCCATTTAACAGTTAACAATTCTGCTCCTTTTCAAAGAGAGGAGGCGGGCCCCTCCGGGAGAGGGGAGGAGTCGTCCTCTTCGGACTCGTCAGAGGACGATTCCGAGTCAAGCTCTTTTGGCCATGCTTCTTTGGACACAGAAGAGAAAAACAGCCGCCTGCAAGAGGCGAGGCTTTCTCACGCAGTTGAGAAGGGGGACAATTGGGCGGAGCCATACGCCTCTTACCGAGAGCAAAATACCCCCTACTACTGCACGGTACCTCGGGGCCGGATCACAGCCATGCAAGAGAAAGTGGAGAGCTTTATTGCAAACCACACCATGGGCTCCGACTTTCTAGTGTTTGTGCCGGATCCAGAAGACACAGTCGTCTGGCCGGCTGGTACCAGTTATGATAGCGCCTGCTTTGGCTGCTACGAGGCGGCCATCAAGGCAGGGCTGCGCTTCCCATTACATCCGGCTGTTCAGCGGATCTTGGATGGGTATGAGTTGGGGTTATGGCAGTTAGCCCCAAACTCCTAGGTCAACGTACTCGGCTATGTGGTCGGGTGCGAACTGCACGGGGTGGAGCCGAGCTTCGAGGCTTTCGCCCATATGAACTATCTCAGTTGGACCCCTAAGGCAGGCGGTACCGGCTGGTGTCAATTGACAAGCCACAGGGGCTACCTCATGACGAGAGGTAAAGCAAACAAGTGGAAGGACTGGCGGAGCACCTTCCTCATCATTGAGAGTTCAGACACTGAGCTGAACAAGCGCTTCAATAGGTGGAACAGGAATCCGCCCCTTCTTGCAGGCGGCCGTAGCATGCCGCCTGTTCCCCCCAAGGCTAAGAAAGAAATCCTTGATAAAGGACTCTTTAAAGTAGAGTCGAGGGTCGACTCTACTTCAGGGGTACGAGAGCAAGTACCCCTGCACTGCGTCCCGAGCTTCAAATGGCTCTACGACGAGTACTTGTTGGCCGTCTGTGGCCTCAGCAGTCGGTGTTCAAGAGGTAGTCGGCCTGTCGAATACTCTGTTGTTCCATACATTTCTTGTTATGACTTTTATTAACTTTGCTGTTTGTTTTTGCAGCTGACGCCATGAGCAAAATCACCGCCTCCAAGACTGCGGAGGCCATGTTGCGGGCCTCCATCATGCAACAAGCTTCAACCGACTCCCCCAAGAAGGGGGCACCCTTGGTGAGCTCCGAACTTTTCACCCTCTTTTTGGAGTTGTGTTTATGCATATACTGACTTTTTTCTTCTTTTTTAGACGGGTGCTCCAAGAGCTTCATCTTCCCAACAGCCGGACCCCAAGGCCCGGAGGACGACTGTTGCGAGCTCTCCTGGTTCTGCCAGGAAACAGGTGGCGGTTGAGAAACAGCCGGCCACTTCTTCTAAAACTCCAACTGGGCCGCCTAGAAGTATGAAGTTGTCCTTGTAAATTTTAGACTTGCTCCCTTTTTTACTAGGTCTAATCCGTTTGTTTATGCTTGATGCAGCCGACCCTCAGGAGCCTGACTTGGTAAAGGTGGCCAAGTCTATGATCAGAGCCGTTCCTCTAGCTGAAAGGGAGGCGGTCAGGGGTGTCGGCACCCTTGACTTAGACGGGATTGCAGGGGTCCTTGCTGAGGTATACTTAGCATAATTTTTAGTATTTGAATTTCTGGACGCTTGTTTTCTTTTTTGTTTGGAAACTGACGCCTGTTTCTTTTTACTTAGGCCCTGCTCCGAGTGAACGGCCTTCGCAAGCCGCTTGACCGGAAGAACAAAGAGGTAAAGGCAGCAAAAGCTATGGCCGCCTCCAACTGTGATAAGGCAATGTTTCAAATTGCCCAAAATGAAGTTCTGACCATTGATATTCTTTATTATCAGGCGCAGGCTACCGCCGCTGTTCGGGCTCAGTTAGAGGCGGCCTAGAAGAGGAATGGCGAGCTGGAGGCGACCATCACCAATCTCAAGGCCGAGCTGAAACCTCTTCGCCTAAAGATGTACTCATACGAAGCCTTGGAGAAATCCTTGGCCAACGTAAAGGAACGCTTGGTGACCCAGGAGAAGAGTCTTACCCAGGAGCTCTCGGAAAAGGCCGAGCAAGAGAAGAAAAAGCTGGTCCGGGAGATGATGGAAGACTCCGCTCAAATCCAGCGCATGACTTGGGGCCGCCTCTTCCCTAATGCCGACTTTGCCTCATGGGAAAAAACGTACCGCCAGTGTTCTGATACATATAATCAAAAGATCCTGGCGGCTGCTGAGGAAGAGGCGTTGGAGGAAGCGTTGGAGGAGGAGGAGCTGGTAGTGGCACTTGTGCCGCTTGGGGGTAATGCATCAAAAAAGGATGCAGCTGAAGCCGAGTCCAGCAAGAAGAGTGCTGACCAGGCGGCAGCTACTAATATTGAAGATCTGCCCCCTTCTTAAGCTTTATGTATTCTTTCAACGACCTGCGTGCCGTTTGTTTTGTATTTACCCGGCCAGGGGGCCGGGGCTTTGAATATTTTGCCGGTCTTTAATGACCGACTTCTTTTTAATGAATTTTTGTTTTGCTTCAAATTTGTCTAAGTATTGAATATTCTAATATCCAATTGTTCACTAGACCGACTGTTTTACATGGCCGATAGTTGCAAACAGGTACGGATAGTTAGTCACGCGGCCTATGCCCCTGGACGACTGGTT